AAGCCCATGAGAGTATTTCAGGCATGGAAAGCCAAGACACTCTGGGGAAAAAAAAAAAAACCTAAATGAAAGATCTCCGTGAGTGAGATCCCAGTGGAAAGAATGGGTCATCAAAGAAGGAAGTACCTTTCTCTGAAGGGAGGAGAGAACTTCCACTTTGACCATGGCCTTGTCTAAATATGATCAGAGTCGGTGAACTCAGGGGGCTTCCATAGCCTTGGCAGCTCATGACAAGAGCCTAGGGTGATTACTGAGGCCATAAACAAGAGTGTCAATTTGTTAAGTCAACAACAGGAGTCACTGTGCACTTACTCCTCATGTAGGATCTTTGTCCTTAGTGTGCTGTACATTGAGATTTAATGCTATAACGAGTACTCAAACAGTATATTTCACTTTGTGTTTCTATGGGGGTGCAAACTGTTGAAATCTTTACTTACTGAATACTAAACTGATCTTCTGTAAAAAAAAAAAAAAAAAAAGAAATTATCAATTCCCAACTTGACTCTCACTGGGATTAAACATGACAATAGGTCTGATCTGATTTCATCATCATTTAAAAAATCATCTATTATTTTTCACTTTATGTGTCTGTGTGGGAGCAAACTGTTGAAATCTTTACTTAATGTATACTAAACTGATCTTCTGTATATTAAGAGAATCGAAAATGAATCTTGATGTGAATGGAAGGGGAGTGGGAAAGGGGAGGGTTGCAGGTGGGAGGGATGGTATGGGGGGGAAGCCATTGTAATCCATAAGCTGTACTTTGGAAATTTATATTCATTAAATAAAAGTTAAAAAAAACTAAATAAATAAATAACACTCCAGAAAGTGCTGGAAAGATGCCCATGGCAGTGAGAAAGTCTTAAGGCTAGGATCTTTTTTAATGAATAAAAAAATGTAGTATGAAGGGTCTTCAAAAAGTTCATAGGAAATACAAATTATGAAAAAAACTATGCATGGATTTCAAATTTATTTTACATCAAAATAAACTTATCTTTTAATTCCATTTTACACAAACTTTGGGAAGTAGCCTCATATGTAATACCGTCTTCCTACCCCTCCTCTGCCCAGCTTTTCTTTTCAAAGAAAGTATCTTTTTAAGGAAGAAAATGAACACCATATAAATAAAAGCAACTTTTCTAAAGGTTGAACCATATGAAATTGCCATTTGAGTATACCAAAAAGGTCGGATATTGGCAATCACAAAGTAAAGAAGAGATATACCATGCTCCTGAAGAAAAGGCAGAATATTTTTGGGCCGGCTCTGTGGTGTAGTGGGTAAAGTCACCGCCTGCAGTGATGGCATCCCATATGAGCGCCGATTAATGTCCCAGCTGCTCCACTCCTGATCTGGCTCTCTGCTGTGGCTCCTGGCTTTGGATAGGCTCAGCTCCGGCCATTGCAGCCAACTGGGGAGTGAACCAGTGGATGGAAGACACCTCTTTCTCTGCCTCTCCTTCTCTCTCTGTGTAACTCTGACTTTTAAATAAATAAATAAATCTTTAAAAATATATATAATCCCGGCTGGCACCGCAGCTCACTAGGCTAATCCTCCGCCTTGCGGCGCCGGCACACCGGGTTCTAGTCCCGGTCGGGGAGCCGGATTCTGTCCCGGTTGCCCCTCTTCCAGGCCAGCTCTCTGCTGTGGCCAGGGAGTGCAGTGGAGGATGGCCCAAGTGCTTGGGCCCTGTACCCCATGGGAGACCAGGATAAGTACCTGGCTCCTGCCATCGGATCAGCGCGGTGCGCCGGCCACAGGGTGCCGACTGCGGCAGCCATTGGAGGGTGAACCAATGGCAAAGGAAGACCTTTCTCTCTGTCTCTCTCTCTCTCACTGTCCACTCTGCCTGTCAATATATATATTGACAACCCTAATCACAAGGAAATTCTAAAATTTGCCAGAAGGACAAATGACAGGATAATCATAGAAATGCTGCAAATAAGAGAGATGAGAGTTAAAAAGTATTATAAAGTTATAGTAATTGAAACAGTTACAGTACTGACCTAAGAACAGACTGACATATCAACAGAACAGAACAGAATAGAATATGTAGCCTGGGGATAGAGACCATAGAAGATACGGAAACACTTACTATGTGATGAAAGCTACATCACAAAGAAGTGGCAAAAACAAAGATTATTCAAAATATGGTGCTTAACCAATTGGTAAACTATTTGTTAAAAGTTAGAGGATTTCTTCACATCACATACTAGTTAAATTCTTTTTTTTTTTTTTTTTTTGGACAGGCAGAGTTAGACAGTGAGAGAGAGAGACAGAGAAAGGTCTTCCTTTTCCTTTTCCGTTGGTTCACCCCCAATGGCCACTACGGTTGGCGCGTTGCCAGGAGCCAGGTGCCAGGTGCTTCTCCTGGTCTCCCATGCGGGTGCAGGGCCCAAGGACCTGGGCCATCCTCCACTGCACTCCCAGGCCACAGCAGAGAGCTGGACTGGAAGAGGAGCAACCAGGACAGAATCCGGCACCCCGACCGGGACTAGAACCCGGGGTGCTGGCACCGCAGGCGGAGGATTAGCCTAGTGAGCCACGGCGCCGGCCACTAGTTAAATTCTAAATGTATTAAAATGTTAATTGTAAAATTTATACCAAAAGGGACTGGTGTTGTGGTACAGCAGGATAAACACCACTTGGAACACCCACCAATTATTTGGAGTGCCGGTTCAATTCCCAGCTACTTCATTTCCTATCCAGCTTCCTGCTAACGTACACCTGGTCACCCACATGGGAGACTCAGTTGGAGTTCCAGGCTCCTGGCTTTGGCGTAGGCCAGCCCTGGCTGTTGTGAGCATTTGGGGAGAGAACCAGCAGATGGAAGATATCTCCCTCTGTGTCTTTCCCTCCATCTCTTATCATTCTGCCTTTCAAATAAATACATCTTTAAAAGTATAACAAAAGATATTTAAAGAACATATAAGTGAATAACCATAGGATTGTGGGATGGGATACAAGTTATAAGCAGAAAAGCAAAGTTAGAAATAAAAACAATAATAATAGGTATAATTGCATAAAATTTAAAAAATATGGTATATATATTACTCTTTTTAAGTTTTATTTATTTGAAAGGCAGAGTGACACTTTGTTTATTTGAAAGGTAGGTAAAGAAGGAGAGACAAAGGGAGAGAGAAAGAAAGATTTTTCCATCTGCTGGAAAATATATGGATGTTTGGACATCCCCAAATATCCATAACAGCTGGGGCTCAGAAGGAGACAGGAACTCCCTCAGGGTCTCCCACATGGATGGCAGGAACCTAAGTATTGAGCTGTCACCTACTGCCTTCCCAGGTGCATTAGCAGGAAGCTGGATCAGAAGCAGAGGCAGGACTTGATCCTATGCACTCTGATATGAGATATAGGCATCCCATGTGGCAGCTTAACCTGCTTTGTCACAACATCAGCCCCATGTGTATTACTTTTAAAATTAGAAATGTCTTTTACATAAAGAAGCATGCATTAGCAGGGTCTAAATTTGTACCTATACTATAATTATAACAATATGACAGTTATTTATCTATTTGCACATGAACCCAGACAGATGAAAACTTCATGGATTGGTGCTGGCAGACTTGAGTGTTGTAGTGATGTATATTTGTCTAAGATGTATATTTGCTTAACCTACCTGCAGGTTTTTATAGTGCTGGGGTAAGTGATGGCCCAGACTAGCCAAGAGTACTAGGGAGGGGACTTGGGAGTGGGATAGGGAAGAAGCATTGAAAAAGCAGATGCACAAGTGAGAGCCACATGAGAAACAAAGTTATCAGGGGCCTGCACTGTGGAGTAGCGGATAAAGCCTCTGCCTGCAATGAGGGCATCCCATATGGGCGCCGGTTCAAGTCCCGCCTGCTCCACTTCCAATCCAGCTCTCTGCTATGGCCTGGGAAAGTAGTGGAAGATGTTCCAAGTCCTTGGGCCCCTGTACCCACATGGGAGACCTGGAAGAAGCTTCAGGCTCCTGGCTTTGGATTGGCCCAGCTCCGGCTGTTGCAGTCATTTGGGGAATGAGCCAGTGGATGGAAGACCTCTCTGTCTCTCTGCCTCAAATAAATAAATAAATCTTTTAAAAAAAGGAAAGAACAAAGGAAAACAAAGTCAGCAAGAGCTGATTTTTTAACATTGGATTTAACTGATCTGAAATTAATTTCCATATAGCTCTTCAGGGAAATATCAATTGTATAAATCGAGATTTGCACAGAAGAGGCCAGAGAGCCAGGGGAACCTACAGAAGTAGAATTTTAAGGGAGTGAGCAGGGTAAAGGGAAGACACAAGGCTTCAGCCTTGGATTCTGAGCCTGCTCCCACTGTACGATGTGGCTGTGACTCCCGTGATCTTATTGAACCAGTTTGATTTTTCTTTTTACCAAAATGGGCTTCTTCTAGGCTAAGCCAATTACTCATTTTGAAGCCTCTGGTTAATAGGCTTTTGCCTCTGTGCTCCCTAGAGAAAGGTGAGTTTCCTAGGGAGATGCATTTTAAATGCAGTTACTATCTCAGCAGGGGAGTCAGAGGCTACGGGACCCTTGTTAAGCTATAGTTCCTGGCTTATGTGAGTTCTAGCCCGCATGTTCCAATGAGGTGAAGTCAGGGAGGAAAGCAAGAGTACTGCATCTTCACTCCCAATGGAGGCCACCAGGAGGGAGAGGGGGAGGGGGAGGGGGAGGGGGACGGCGGGAGGGCTGGTGGGCAGCTGGGCTTGATCTACCCACCTGCTGCTCTTGGAGGAGGGAGAATCACTAGTGTTGCAACCAGCAAGAAGAGGGGCCTCACCTGAAGGCTTTATAAAAGAAAACAGAGTATAGGGATGAAGAGCAGCTTGAACCCCAGCCAATAGCCCTGCGGTTAGCAGCGGAAATGCCATGGAGTAGGGGTTTGCGTTGTATTTGTATGAGCAGTCACCAACTCCTTGGCAACTTGGCATCCTTCAGGGTAATTTTGCTTCTGCTACCCGGTCACAAACATTCCAAGGCATCCCCTCACCCCAGCTCCTCACCTGCATCTTTCTCTTGACGGTGTCAAAGGGAAAGGAGATGGTCTGTGTGACCACCGCAGCCAGGCAGACATTGGCAAAGTTCTGCAGGACAGAGAACCGATCGCGGGGTCCGTTCCAGATTTTCTCCAGGTTCATGTAGACCAGAAGGGAACCAGCAGAGAACGGGAAAGCACCTGCAAGGCAAGGCCAGAGACACTGCTGATGCCTCTGGGAAAACAATGGCATGAGAACAGAAATGTCTGCAGGGGAGCCTGGCAATAATCAGTTGGGATTCTGGCCTTGCAAACACTGATCCAACTGAAGGAGGATGAGGGAACTTTTGAGAGTGATAATATACTGTATTTTGATAGGGGTTTTCTTATTTGTCAAAATGCATCAAATGCTTCTCTAAAGATATGTGTACTTCACATACATTATGTTTTAAAAAGAATCATAAACAAATACTGAACTCCAGTTAATGACACAAACATTGAAGGGTTTAGGAGTGAAGTGTACTAATGTTCACACCTTACACTGACATCTTCGTCCAAAAAGAGATGGATTGATGAACAGCTAGAGCAATGAATAGATGGATAAATATGTCATAAAGCAAAACATTAATTGTAGCATCTAAATGGTGGGTCTATGTATGTGTGTTTACAATTCTCTTAATTGTTCTGGGTGTTTGAAATGTAAAAAACAAAAACAAAAACAAAAAAACCAACAACCAAACACCTAATGTTGGGGAAAAAAATCACTCCCAAGACAAAAGTTAATGGGAAGCACCTACGCAAGTTTTGGGGACTAGGAAGGACTTTTTTTCTAGCTAAGAATGAAACATTCTATGAAAACTGGAAAGTGAGAGACTTTCAGTGGTGAGAGAAGAGGGAAATGTCCTGACCTTGCATTTGAAAATGGCACAGCCATATCAGGGCCCAGTGAACATCCTATACTGTGTACTTTCCATATCTTTCTAGTAATTATGATGTTGAGCAAGTAATGTAGAAGGTGGCACTTTTATAAACTTCCAGAAACTTCAGTGACCATCTTCATTTTATAGAGGGGCTAAATTTCTCCCTCAAAATGATATATAAAAGGGAAGATAACACACATAAGGTTGTTTAGAAAAATACAATGCGGTTATGCTATGGTCAGTAATAGACGACATATATGACAGCAGTGCCATATGATTATAATGAAACTGAAAAATTCCGAGTGACATCATAGTGCAATACGTTATTCGGATGTTTGTGGTGATCCTGGTGTACACAAACCTACTGTGCTGTCAGTCAGCTAAAAGTACTACATACTCAATTGTGTGCAGAACACAGTATGTGATAATGATAATAAATGGCAGTTACTGGTTGATATAGTTACCATACTTTTTATTGGGATTTTTGAATATAAAACATTAATTGTAGCAAGATGTTCATTATGGCATCTAGATAGTATATGTATGGGTACTTCTACTTACAAAAAAAAGTTTACAGGGGCTGGAGCTGTGGCATAACAGGTAAAGTCGCCGCCTGCAATGCCAGGCATCCCATATGGGCACCAGTTTGAGTCTTGGCTGCTCCTCTTCCAACCCAGCTCTCTGCTCTGGCCTGGGAAAGCAGCGGACAATGACCCAAGAGCTAGGGCCTCTGCTCCCACATGGGAGACCCAGAAGAAGCTCCTGGCTCCTGGCTTCAGTCTGGCCTAGCCCTGGCTGTTGAGACCATTTGAAGAGTGAGCCAGTAGATGGAAGATCTGCCTCTACCTCTCTCTCTCTGTAACTCTGCCTTTCGAATAATCTTTTTTTTTTTTAAAGTTTACTGTGAAACAGTGTGCCATGTTATACCAGCAGCCACTTCATACATCCTGTGTTTATTGTGTCTCAGGATTTCATCAAGAGACATCAAGGGACTGGCATTGTGGCACAATATATTAAGCCACTGCCTGCAGCACTGGCATCACATGTTGGAGCACCAGTCCTGGCTGCTCTGCTTCTGATCCAGCATTCCTGTTAGTGTGCCTGGAAAAGCAGCAGCAGATAGCCTGAGTACTTGGGCCCCTGCCACCCATTTAGGAGACAGAGATGGTGTTCCTGGCTTGTGGCTTTGGCTTGGTCCAGATCTGGTCTTTGTGGCCATTTCAGCAGTCAACTAGTGGAAAGAAGATCTCTTTCTCTCTCGTCTCTCCCTCTCTCTGTGTCACTCTGCCTTTCGAATAAATAATCTTTAAAAAAAAAAAAGAGTCCACATCGAGTGACTGACCTACATCATCTAAGTTTGTGTAAGCACACTTGATGATGTTGGCACAGTGATGAAATTGTCTAGTGCTGCATTTCTCAGAACAGGTCTCCGCCATTAAGCAATACATAGCTGTATTTATTTAGGGAACATATGTTAAAAATGACTCACAATTCTCCCATTTACCTTCATTCAGAAAACATTTGGGGAGCTTATGCTATGTGCTGGGCCCTATGCCGGGTGCTGGGGATACAAAGAGGAGCAGGCTAATTCCTGGAGATGCTCACCATCTCAGGAAGGAGACAGCCAGGGGAAACTGCTAAGTATAGCCCCATATGTGTGCCAGAAAAGGGTGCTATACAAAATACTTTGAGTACACAGAGATCCGTGGGATTAATTTTGCCTGGGGGCAGTCAGGAAGAACTTGACAGAAGGGAGGACTCTAGAACCGGACTTGAGGAATGAGTAGGAATTCATCAGACAGTGAGAGCGGAAAGGCAGTGCAAGTGGAGGGAACAGCATGCACAAAAGGAGTGGCATTGGCAGGAAATGCAAGTTTTTTCTTTGTGGCTGGAGAAAGAGCAGGTGGAGGTGTGGCAGGAGATGAAGTAGGATAGACTGGGAGGGGGCATGTCTGAAGGATCTGGGCGGCCAGAAGGAATTTGGGCTTTCTGCCACAGCCCAGAAGGAGTCACTGAAAGCTTTTAAGGAAACCAGCAAAACAATCATAGTGTACATGGAAAGGTCCCTCCAGCGTGGCAGCCGTGCACAGGGCCAGCTGGGGCAGGAGAGGCCCCATGCTGGGAGCGGATGGCAGCCTGAATCTATGAATGTGAGTTGCAAGAGTCTATAGGACAGATGATGAGGGCATGAGACAGGGCAGAGGAGATGGGCATGGAGAAGGAGGGCCAGGCTTGAGAATTAGAAGAGGTCACAGTGACAGGATTTGGTGCCTGACAGAAATGGAGGGAGAGGAAGAGTTGAAGAGATCCCGAGGTTTCTCTGGGTGAAAGAAAGGTGGTCTCATTCGTTAGAGGACACAGAAGGAAGAGGAGGTGGGAGTCGAATGAGGACAGCTGAGTGCATCTTGCGATTGATGTGCCTAGGTAGCATGGATACCTACAAGGTGTCCAATAACAGCTTCTCATCCTGCCATTGAAAACTGGTATAAGTCAGTGGCTGAAAGCCAGGGCTCTGGAGTGATAAATCTAGGTTCTCCTATTTTCTATTTATGCAACCTTGAATAAGTTGTGTTGCTTCCCTAACCTGGTCTGTAAAATCAGACCTTTAGAGGTTGGTCAATGGGTACAAAGTTACAGTTAGATATAAGAGGAATAGGTTCTGGTATTTTATTGTACAGTAGAGTGACTGCACATAACATGTTATGTACTTCAAAATTGCTATAAGAGAACATTTTGAACATTTTCACCACAAAAAAATGATAGTTGTTTGAGGTGATACGCTAGGTACCCTCATTTTAACATGATAGAATATTTACATGTATTGAAACATCACATGACACATTGCAAATATGTATAATGATTATGTGTCAATTAAAAATCAGACTTGAAGAAGTAAAATACAATGAAGCTTAACTGAGAAACTGGATGCAAAGCACTCAGCACAGTTCCTGGCACACAGTAAGCACCCTCCAAAATGTTCGTCGTTATGATTTATGAGGTAGAGATTGGGAGTCATAAAGCACAGTGTTGCTGATTGAAGCCATTAGCTTTCCCTAATGGAGAGTATGGTGAGAAGAAAGCTAAAGCAGAGGGTGAAAAGGAAGCCAAGGAAGCAGCTCCGGGGAAGAACAACACTTAGGAACTGGCAATATCAGATGGCCCAGATAGATAGACCAGAGAAGAAAGAACTGCCAGAGAGCTGGAGACACCCAGGTGACTGGGGAAGGGAGGTCCCAGAAGCCAAGTTGCTGAAAGAGGTCATCGATATAATCAAATGCTGCAACAAAGATCAGATAAAGGGTGACAGTCTACTAGAGCTAGCAATTGCCCCCCCCCCCCCCCCC